TTGAATATCCTTACTTGTCTCGTTGGCGTAGTAAGAGATCCAAATTCCTCCTCTACCAGGTCACTTATCCCAAACTCCTCATCCATTTCCGCCAGTAATTTAGCCTAAGGGAGAAAAAATCATTTTATTTAATTACGTTGAAAAGTCAACGACCCTTTCTTACCTACAGTCTGGTTAAACCTGGGCGAGGCTAGTGGGTGCTCTCATAGAAGCTATGGACCATAATGATATTATTATTATTCTTATAGAATTAGAATTATATTTATTCTATTCAAGCAAAGTTGCAACATGTCATGTGTACTGCTGCTTGTCTCTGAAAACAGTAGCACCGGTTGATAGACTAGAGAAGAAAGCTAACAATATTACATTCATGCACAACAAGGGATTAAACCCATCAAGTCCTGGACACTGACTGGTCTAATCTCTGATCTACCAGGTAAAGAGAGGCTTATAGAGGGTTACCGTATTACTATAGCCTGAGAAAACAAACAGCTGGCATTTCACGATGCTACCACTGTTTCCCTTGAGAAATGACATCTGAGAAATGAGCACAGAAATTCCATACTGATGACATTTCACTACCCAGATCTGGGTAGTACTTCTGATTGGTTGAAACAAATTTCCCAGGTGGCACGACCAATCAGAAGCACTACCCTGATCTGAAAGTGGATCTGAAAATGGGAAGTACCTGTATTTACATTCTCTGTCACTGCCACTATGTTCAGCTCTGCCAAGCGTAAATGAATAAACCGAATTCAAGGACTTTTCAAGACGAATACTAAAATTCAAGACCTTTTCAAGATTGTGCGAACTATGATGGTAACTTACTCGTTTCTCAGCCAGGCTTTTTTCATTCTCCTTCTTCCCGCTCTTGGCCACCCAAGAAGCAGCAGAATCATCATCATCACTATCTGCTGCACCCAGACTTTTTACTTTACTATACAAGAAAAGATACAAGCCACAGTTTAATGGAACTTTTTGCAAGATAAATTTAATAATAATGACAAAAGAGACAGTACAGATTGTAGTAATGATTTTACTTTACTATTCTGTACAAGTATATTTTGATCAAGAACCAGGGACATGTTCCACCTACAGCTGTAATGAAGAGATTTTGCATGGCCTACTTCCAGCTGACTTGTGCTAAATTTATATTATACATGTAGTTCATAATTAAATACTTAGGTTAAAATTTTTCAATTATTAAGGTTGATTATCAATTTCCTTTGTCTCCTAGCCCTAAATCACAGATAATTAAATCATTAGAGCTATGTAGGAGAAAAAGACCACAGTTAACTGGAATGCAATTTTGACCTATAACACCTTGGTGTGCAGTTCAAACAGTAAAGCACTGATTGTGCAAAAGTACGTCACAGATTCACCTCTCCAACAATAATGGAATTTTTTCTCCTCTTCACAGATCAATAAAATAATATCAATATTTTCTACTATGAAAGCTTATAACAAAAAGACAAAGTTTTCTTAAAATCAGCAGGGAAATTGAGAAAGGAGACCAAACAATAATAATTTTTACTGCAACTACATGTAATGTACATGTACATAAGAATCACATGTGTATATGTATAGTACTTATTCTCCAGTAATTTTTTGTACAAATTGACATTTAACTACTAATTAAACTCACCCTAGTTTCTTGTTTATTCTTCTCTTTTCTCTCATTTCTTCCAGCTTTCTTTTAAACTAAATATTACTGTCATAGTGTATAAAAAGACAGAATTAAATTTTACTTGGGTGTTTCTCATTCTTCATGCAACAAGACATCGTGCAGAAACACTAACAGGGAACATGTACATGAAGGTGTATAAACGATGAATTTTCCAGGAAAGATCAATAATTTGACTCTTATCTTAATTATCAGTTCTCCTCAACAATTCCACATAGTAAATGTGCAATGTACAAAGCAGAACCAAAAGAAGTCAAGCGAAAAAAACCATCTTGGAGAATCAGTGGTCATACACATGTAGCCTGTAAGCAAACTCTCTCAGCCATGTCTGGGTTCAACGGGAGAAAATGGGAGGAAAAGGGAGAGAAAGAATCATGAATTTAGTTGTGTTTTAGAGAATTTGCCTTACTCAAAGTTCAACATGTACCTACATGGATGGGTCTTAACTTTTATTATATACATACTGAGAAATACTCACCAAAAAGCTATGTCGTAAATTTTCGTTCGCAGATTAGTTCTAGCCAATCAGAGGAGCGAACGATGGTTTTCACACGTGAAAAAAACAATACGTCCAATCAAAATCGCGAACGATGTTTCTTTACGTGTGAGAAAAATGATACGTCCAATCAGAAGCCACAGAGGTGTGTGAGTTTCGTGCCAAAATTCCCGCCTTTTATTGGAGCTTGCAGCGCCGCTTCGCACACATTCAACGAGAAAAATTTACTCAAAGAGTTTTTCTCGCTAAAAAGTGAAAAACATTTCGGAAATGGAGTGGAATAGTTTCCTTTATTTCTCTGTTGATAAAGAAAACGGTAGAGAGCTGGCGAAACAACAGCGGAAAGGGATAAACAGAATGAGACGTAAGCTTTTGTTGTGCTTTTTGTCGCAGCTACTTTGCCTTTCATTTAAGATTAAGCTTATATTGAAACTGGCCATTTTACTTAAATTCACTCATTTTCAATTGTGCATTGAGAACAAACAGTTAAGATTACTTATAGTTCTTGGATTACCTCATATCCTCACCGTCATTTATGTTTTTAATAAACGTTTTTACTAAAAAGCTGATACTTCGTTTTCGTTGTCATTTTGCAGTAAGTGTGTAGCAGCAAATTTTAGCATTTTTGAAAGATTTAAAATCAAAAGGCCGCCAAAATGATGAATGTCTCAGTATGTATATAATAAACACAATACCACATGGAAAGTGCTTTGTACGGTATTTACGCACTCGTTGTTTTTGTATCAGAAATCTTACTCGTTCACTGCGCTCACTCGTTCGATTTCTGATACGTCAACAACTCGTGCGTAAATACCGTAAGCCAGCACTTTCCACGAAGTATTCTCTATTTATATTAGTACAGGTACTACATAACAATAGACCTTCCACATTTTTTCTTTCAACTTTTGACTAGTACATGTAAGTCAGTAATCCAAAGGCAATACTCCCAAAAAGCAAGCAAAGATAATTCCTATTTTCTCCACCAACTTGCAAAATTTTTGCGGACATTAACGTATGCTGGTGGTCTGTGTGCGTGTAGGGGGAACATCTGGCCCCCCACCATACCAATGTCTATAAATTTTCATGACTTTGCAGAGCAATGTCTTTGTTAGTTTCCAAAAAATCACTTTCAAACCTGGCAGCTTTACAGATTTTAAGGCGTTCTTTCCAGCCATGTTGATAGTTTATCGCTCACTGGTCCTAGTCAAAATTTTGAAAACAACCATGGAGGGGTCTATTAAAGCAATTTCCGTACATGACCTTAAAATGAAAACGCGCGAACGATACAGAAACAACAAAAGAATGGAAATAGAGCAAATTGATTGGTTTATCGAACAGATACAAATGTGGGTGGCTTTTGGTTGGTTAAGGGAACACTCGGCTGAAAAAACTTCATGCCTGAGAACTTGCTGGAAATCAATCAATACTTTGCTTTGATGTCATACTGCAACATGATTGGCCAATCAAACAATGCCTTCTCCATATTAGGGTTTTCTTTGGTGGAAAAACGAAGAGGCCATGTTTTGATCTTTTCATCCATTGGCTGTTAAAACAAATAACGAACACTTACTGAAACCATTTTTCAAGGTCATACGAAAGTCGCTCTTACTGTCTCAAACTCCCATCATTTTTTTCTAACTCTGACCAACTTATTATTTCAAAAGTTACTGGAATACCTATTAATTTAGCAATCTTTACATACAACTTTACATATACATGTACATATAGCACAACTGTAAGCAAAGTTATGGCAACTAAAACAACACACTTACATTTTCAGCTTCTTTCTGGTCAGACATGTTGGCTGCAGGAACATGAACATCTTCTTTAGATGAAGTGGTTTTGCCTGAGCAGGATTGAAAGAAAAAATTGACTTTAAAGGTTTCAGGATAACATACATTCTGTACAATGTACATCTGTATGACGAACTACATGAATAAGTTCTACGCTTAAGTTATTTTGATGGCGAGGTCCTTGTTTACAGTTTTTGCCTCATTAGCATAGGCTTACAAAATATACAAAGCTCATTAACATTTTGCCATCCAGTAATTTTACAGTTTTTAATTGCTGCTATTTTCTTTGTTAATGATTGCAAAGAGCTGAAACTTTTAATTTAACTTTTCATTTAATTTTCAAACCTAATTGGTATATTAACCCATTTTCGCCTGGAAATTTTGCCAAAAAACACGTTTTGAAACTAGTTGAGCAGTTCTCTGGTCACTGTCGTGCTATAAAAAGCTAAAACTTACTACAAAGCTGTTTACAGGTCGTACACTTGGCAGCCTTCTGATCCAGATGCAAAATATTAGCTTCCGAAGTTCGCGCATGCGCAGAAAGCAAAATTTCTCTCCTCCCCTCTTTTTTTGCTTTTCTTGCCTCATTTTTTTTTCCCTTGTTGGGCATTTAGTAGGCTTCATTTTGGTGGGAAACGTTTTTGGGCAAGCTTTTACGATCTTAGGATAGGATGTGCTCATTCTGGTATGGTTTGAAAGATCCCTTCACTCTGCACAAGTTAGCAGACAAAGTTGTCCTTGACCATTGAAACTGATGACATCACAAGCAGTAGAGAGAACGCGGATCCGCACAGGTGGTTACGGACAGCTCAGAGGCAAATGGGTTAATAACTTTATACATGTACTTGCAACAAAATTGACAGAATTAATTGAAGATGTAAGATGGCGTATTTTGTTACAGGTCAAATTTGATTTGAGGTGACTTTTGAATGTACCTTTGGCTACAGGGTTGTAAGTTGATTTTCAATTTCTATTGCCTTCTATCTGTAGCCAGTCCTTGCTAGTAGCCTGTACCACAGATTCAAACTAAATCTCTGGTTAAGTCCATCCGCAAGCCAGGACTGAAATCCTTGTTCTGGACCCTTGCCTGTGTATCAGAATTTGCGTAGGTGCGATGATTGGTCAGTTCAAAAAGCCATTGTCAATTTGCCAATCAGGTTTGAGGGATCTTATTGCTGCTTCGCAGACAGTAATAGCCAGGATTAGATCATGTCTGTGCCGACAAAGGAAATTGATAATCAACCTACACTGTAGGTTAAAAAACTTCAACCTGAAATCAAAATTGACCTGTAACACAGATTGTGCAGAGATATACTTTACCCTCTGTGTCTGCTGATGAATCAGGGATTTCAAGTGGCTTAAGTCCAAGTTTGATTCTTAACTTACTGAAAAGTATTACCATAAATTGGTCAGTACAGCAGCACATTGATACAACAAACCATTAAATACTGTAACAATGTCAACCTAACTAAAACAATTGACAACCTATGGCCCAGTAACAGCAAAACATAAGAGAACCGGAATATAAGGTACTAGTATTAAATAACCAAAGGTTATGGAGTGTGGGTGACAGTGATCGGAGGTCCAAATGCAGTCAAACGCTTTTGCTCTAACACTGTACTTTTAAGTGAATTTCACCTTTGGTCAAAATACATGGTATCAGATTATGTGGGAAGAAGGACAAAACGTACATGACCAAATTGCATTTTGTGCATTCCATTCATGTTTAGTAGAATTCCAAACGAATGTTGGCTACATAAATGAGACGCATGTGTAATAACAACCTGCAGATTAGGATTGTGGACTCCTCTAGTCACCCGCACAACTTGGTTATAGCTCAAAACAAGACAAAATACTTGAACAATCAACTGTGTATAAACACTTCAGAATCTACAGATCATAGAAATGTGGTTACAAAAAACTATTGATATTCTCCAAACCTTAATGGGGCAAGCAGGGTTTTCTTACAAAATTTTTAAGATTTTGAGATGTTTTGCCAATCTGTGATCTATCACAGCATGCTTAGCAATGACGATGGCAACAGGCAGGGAAAATGTCACTGTTAAAAAGGACTTGCATGTTTTTAAACATTGTCACCATTAATTTAACTCACTTGAAATATCACATGTATGTAAATAAAATTTCAATGGAATTAAATTCTTAGGGAGAAAACCTAAGGGAATTTTACATTGTAGGTGTGCATTGACCGCAAGTGAGCCTGCACTGCACATGTAGATTTGTTGTTTTCCTGGTTAAACCTATTCCTTTTTTGATGTTCTTGTTGCCGTCACCCTCGTAATTGCTACAGCTCCCTACTGATTGGTGCATGGAGACACCTTATTATTAACAGATTGGTCCCTTCAATTACATTAATTCAGGTCTGGGAGCGGGACTCTGGATCACAAATTTAGCTTTCACCACCTTGATTCTTGAACTGCAGACATGTAGTAAATGAATTGTATGACCACCCCTTCTCAGTTATTTCTTAAAGTATAAAGCATTAATTAAAAACAGATATTTCAAAAAACCATCGCGATACTATTGCAATAGTACCTCCACTATTACAATACTATTGACACATCCACCTGGTCTATTGCAATACAATTGCAGTAGTTAAAATTTCCCCCATAGTCACCCCTTACATGTACACATTCATCAGTATTTTTTATGACTTACTTTGTTTCTTCAATACTCAGTGATATTTCTCCACCTTCTTGATGGTTTTGCGATATGTCATTATCTGATAAGAACATTGGAAAATCAATCAATCAAACTTTATTCACGGTATGACTTCATTAAAAATGCTCTTCCAGTGAGCCGTTTATATAACAAAATTTTCAGAGAAACTACACTAATGCTAAAAATATATCTATATATTAAGAAGATCTATCCTATAATTAATTACACAAAAATCAACCTTAAATGTACATTATATAACTAAAATAAGTGCTATGTCAACTCCCTCAAGGCAATCCCTGGTTCAAGGCAAAGACAAGGCAGACTTGAAAGAGTTGAGATTTATCTCGTCTTTAAGCACATTTTCTAGGCCATTCCACATCACTGCCCCCCTATCGTTAAAAGCCCGCTTAGCAGCTTCAGTACAGGGCCTTGGTTTAAAAGCATTGTTCGAGGCACCTCGTACGTTGTAAACGCACTTAAGAACAGCTTGGTAAATTAAACTAGCCACAGATATTCCTCACCAAAAGCATATTAAACATTGAACACGCGTTCCAGTCCAAATTAACCATACCGTTGCTATGATCATCCCGCGTCGATTCCTCCACAGCATACTCATATAAATCATCATACTCTTCTCTTTTAGCCTTTTTCTTCTCTACTCTTTCATCGTCCTCTGCTGGATGACTTCGCTTCTCTTTTGCTCTCTCTTCCCTTCGCCTCCTTTCTTTATCCGAGTCTTTGTCACGATCTTTATTACTATCTCGTTCACGGTGTTTTCGTTCCCTGTCTCTCCTCTTTTCTCGGTCTCTATCCTTGTCTTTTTCTTTGTGTTTCTTTGAGGATCCCATTTTAAATCAAGAGAAGGGCGAAAAACGAACAGAAGGTTGGCTTCCTCCTTAACGCTTAAACATTGGCGGCCATGATCCTGAGTGACCAGGCACTCGAATTTGGCAGCCTGGCCTTAACCTCGACTTCGCCTTAACCTCGTTTTGATCCAGAGGCTTGAGGGAAGTCGGAAGCAATCGAGTTTGATCCTGGCGATCATGGAGTACTTAGCTGAAAAGAGCGAAGAAACTTTTATTTTACTCAAGGTAAGAGAAACAACTCGTAGAGTAGTTTCCTGCCGGTAGAGTCACCTCTTTTAGTCAGGTCTCTTAGTGCAAAATATAGGCCGGATCGTTACAGACGTGACAAAAGTGTCAAATTTGGCACAGAGCTTCCTTAGCACCTACCGATTAATACTGGAGGGGGTGCCCATTACAAATGGTCCTAATTACAGATAAAAGGGGGGGTTAACTTTTACGTAAAATAGCGGATTGGGTGCCCTGTGGTGAGTACTCTTGTTGTTTGATTTGGCTAAAAAACATTTGTTTCAAATTTTTAAGTTTTTAATTTGGCAATGTTTAGTTGTTGTTACACTATTCAAAATAGTTTTACATGTACATAATACTGACTAGTGCCCAGTCTCCACACGGTAAGTGTGGCCATGTTCACTGTGCGGACTGTGCGGCTATCAGTGTCACTGCTAAGACTTGCCAGTGATAATATCATTACATATCAATTTAAACAGATCACAAAGCCAGCTTTCAAAGATGTCATACAATAACAGAAGACTGAAATGTATCACATCCTAAACGATAGAGTCGTTAAAGTTTAACATGCCACATGAACGACCTCATGAACCGTAACTGACAACGCACCCACTTTGTAATTGTGCAGCTAAGATTAGATTATAATTTGCTACGTTGGTAACCCTGTCCTTGTGATAATGATAAAAACATGTCAATCTCGTCCTCAGGGGAAAAGGAGGAGCAAGGATGGCACACTTGGTTAGTGCGCAGCCTTCGGTGCAAGAGGTCGCGAGTTCGATCCCCGGCGTCAACACATCCTTATTTCAACTTCTCTTTTTTCTGTGTAGCTTTGACTATCTTTAAATACCCTTAAAACGGAGAATTAATGGAGAGAGGGGGGTAAAAGGTGCGCACCGTCGACCTCAAGTTTATCACTTATTATTACTGCCACGAGTTATTGACGTAAAATATGGTCGCTTTACCTTTTTCTACCTTTTTATTAAGCCCTGGGGACGAGGTTCTAAAACATGCCTCTCCAGGAATTTTCAACACTCTTTATTTTTTACACATTTGCATTTAAAAAGAAATGTATGAGGTCCCTGCATGCCTAGACACCTGTAAGCGGCTCATTCACTTCAGAGCCCTTGGAGCAGAGTGTTAATGGTAGGTCTATACGCTCTTTCAAAAAAAGGGAGGTCGTCGCGTACGTTACAATTTACAAACAAACTAACTTCAGAAGAGCTGAAATTTACAGGAAAAAGGCCTCTTTTAGCCAACCAATGATGCATCATTTATGAAAATGAAAGTAATTTGTTTGATGCAATTAGGCGAATACCCCGTGGTTACGACATGATCTTACGATCATGAATACCTCAAGAGCAATTCAGTTACCAACTTTTCACAAAATAATGCTGTGGAAAATTACATAAAATACCAAAAAAAGCAAGGGTCAACAATAATTATGGCCTGGTCCCTTATAATAATGGAGTGGTCATGATAAAGAAGTCCATCAGCCCCAACTTAAACCACTCAAACAGATTTCTGACTGATTACATACTGCAAAACTATGCGTTCACTTATGCCTATGTTGCCACACCAGGAGCCTAGAAATCGGCTCCTGGTCACACCTTGTTTTTATTGCTGAATATCATTCTAAAGAGCTTTACGAAATATTTTGTTAGTAGGGGTGTTTTGAACATGATTGATATTTAGAGATAGTGACAAAAACGAACACAAAAAAAGTCACAAAACGAGACGCATGAAACAGCCGTAATCGTAATCTAATATTCGTTTTACACCGATATAATGGCTTCTTTGGCTGCTATGCTGACGTTCTTGAAGATGGCCGGTAGTATCACAGCTAGTCCCGGGCTAGGTGTACCGTTTATTACCAGTTTCACGGTTCCTGAGACTTAGGGCCTGTTAACATAAAGGTGGGGGACCCCTGGTAGGTGAAGTAACCTGCTTAGGTGGGGTAAAAAAATAACCCTCCTTTACATGCAATCTTACAACCCCGCCATCCTGGGGTGCAGTTTCTCAAGATTATTGAATGGTCGCTAAGCACGTAAACAAGAAAAATGCTGGCAAACCACGTCTAAGCTCAATTGCTGCTCTTGCTGCAACCTTCAGTGTTGCGGCTTTCTATTGTTACCTGTAATAATTATGTGAAGCCATCCGGCGCCAAAGGGAATTTTGCGCGAATTCGATGTATCACCAATCCGACCCCGACTAGCCTGGGTTACCTCACCTTGAAACGTTGACATGGCAAAATTTGACCTCAGCTGAGAGGGTTACCTGGTGTGGCAGACCGGGCTACCCTCCTTGAAGGGTGACCCCACCTATCATGTAAACGTGATCAAATTAAATGAGAAATTATATAGACAGGCGGGTTACCACACCTAAGTGGGTTACCATTCCTACCTCCTCCGTGTAAACAGGCCCTAAAAGTTAGCCCGGCCCCCTTTCTACAGTTTCAGCAGTTAAACTATTCACCACTTATCATTTGAGTCAATCTTGTACCACTTGAGTCTCACTTTTACGACTTGATAAGCTGTTATTATTTTTGGACATGAGTCAGTGCCAAATGTAGAGGCTTCATGATAAACTGTGCTCTTTTTTGAAGCTTGGGCTAACTTGTTTCTTTTTTTCGTTTATGAGACCAGATTCTTTTTTGTTTGTTTTTGCTTTGTAAAGCTTAGACAAAATGCGGGAATTGTAAATTATATGACTTGTGCCACGGTGCTTGCTGTGAAAACATGCACTTGCGTCCAGCAGATAACTGGATAAAGAGAGACTGAAAGGCATCCAGGCCTATGTTAAGCTGAAAAATTAATTACCTCCCTAGGAAAGAACTATTTTGGGTTCTGTCCTTTCATTATTTGCTCTTCATGAATAGCTGTCATAAATCCCCGATAACATGTGATACAACAGACTCTTTGACAATTTCTTTTTTCTGAAATTTTGTGTGTGAATCGCTATGCCAAACGCTTTCTTCATGTTAAAGTGACATGTAATTACAAGTATACCCTGGGTGCCAGAGACTTTTCTAGCGCGGCTTCGGCCAACACCGAAAATTCCCGCCGTACGCGAGAAAAACCTCTGGTACCCAGGGTATGACAAGTAATACTTGATAAATAAGACTTAAGCCACACAATAAGGCCTCCTCTAATTGAAGTACATTAGGAAAGGGGAAGAGAACCCCAGAAGCTGAGTACTTGCAAGTTATGAAGCAAAGACAAGGCCATCTTAGAAATGACTTATAAAAATGTGGGCGGACTGTGGACTTGCTTTAAGGGCACAGTAATAATCAACTTAATTATACAATCAATAAGCAAAAATGGATGGGAATGCCAGATGTTCGAATAAAATTGTTGTTTACAACATGAGAATAGAATTCAGAGTGATTTAAGGTATTAAATAACAATTTTCAATCAAAACACCACAGGAACCCCAGCAGATGAAATTTACAATAATTGAATCCTGTTTAGCACGCTTCAGTGGCATATTTGCAGTGGGCACCCCCTCTAATATTCATGGTACTGCAATAAGCTATCGCTGTGCAAAGTTTGGTGCTTTTGTCAACTCTGTAACGATCCTGACCTTAAGAGACCTGACTATTTTACGGGAAACGATCCAAGAGTTCTGTATGCCAGTAGGCAGGCAGCAGTAGGGTCTGACAGGTTTTTAAAATACAGTTAGTCTCCCGTCTGCAGAGTGTGGAAGAGTATGGCAGAACTCGACGAGATCTCGCGCGCGCATGAGTGAGTCGGTAGGGAAGAGGTAAAGGCCTTTGGTGCGAGAGAAACGCGGGGGGCGTTTCTCTCGCACCTAAAACTCCCTTTCCCTTCCCTTTCAAACGCCTGCCACGCAGGCTAGCCCTGTTAGAAATTATTGCGTCATTGTGGCGGGAAAACCCGTCACGTGATCTGAAAACTGAGCTTTTTGTTAGAACTGTGTAGTCGTTCGGAGATTTTGAGCTGAACAAGTGTGTGGATTGAGTTTAGATCATCAAGTTTTGCGCGCATTGATGTCGATGAATCCTTTAAGTGTAGAACAGAGTACAGAATTCTAAAATATGAACATGTGAAGAAATATGCTTTAATGGAGTGAAGAATAAAAGCTACAGATAACTGATTATATATACAACATTTGGTTACAAGCCCTCCCCGGGCCCCTAGCAATGCACATCGCACAACACTTGGTTGCTGACAAGAGGGCAAGGGGCATAAAATTACTTTTTTTAATTACAGAATATTGATTTGGATGATTAAGACTACATTAACGAGATCTACATCTTTCTGTTGCCTTTTTGTGAAAGTTTGTGACACTGAATAATGGCGTCAGATCTAATTTGCATATTGATGACGTCACTGTTGCTAAAAAAATTGGTGACAAAGTTTTCTGAAATCTTCCTGCTCCAAACAATGTGTTTCAGCAAAGAAATAAAAATGATCATGAAATTTCCACGGGAGTGACGTTTTGAACATAAGGCCCCATATACAATTGATGGCAGGGGATGGGGGAAGGGGTAGCCTGTGTACAGACCCCTCCCCCTCCCCTCAGGAAAAATCTGAAGGGAGGTGGAGGGTCGAGCGGTTCTGTACACAGACAGCATGCGAGTCAGCATAAAATAACTTTGTTTTTAACGTAAACTACAAAAAAACTAGCCTCTGTAACTAAGTAACGTATTTATTCCAAAAGCACGTCTTAACAAGCTTAACAAGTTAGCAAAACAAGGGTCTTGACAAACTGCGAGCCAGCGAGTCATGCGAGTCATC